CGCCGCCTGCGGACCGGAGCGCCCCGGCCGCTTGGGCACGGCCCGCACCGCAGCAGGTTTCTCTCTCGTTCCTCTCTTACCGGGACACTGATGTCTGTGCTCCAGAAAAATGTCTAACCTGAATCTTGAAGGAGTACCTTGCTTAACCTAGGTGGCTCCCCAAAGCTACCTGTCTCCTGCTCTTCTGATGTTCCTGGATAAAAATACAAAGCCACAGGAAAGCTTGGCAGGCTGCATTTGTGTTACCAAACTTCTCATGGAAATGATCTGCTGTGGCTGCTAAGTATAATTAGTTTTACAGCTATAGATGGCTTGTGGTATGTTGTACCAATGTGTCTTGTCTTCCGCTAGTCTAAAATCGCCCTCCTACTTCCAATTCTTAAACATGTAATTTTATTCATACAAGTAGTCCCACTGAGATCAGGGGCTAAAATCGTTGCATGCTCAAGAATTTGAGAGAGAGGCGCAAGTGAGCTGATGTACTCGAGTTGGTTTCTCATATGTAAGTTGAGAAAGGAAATGCGTTTTGTCATTACTTTTGGTTACAGTATTTTGAATCTTCATGAAGTTCTTCAGGTAATTAATTTAGATTGTACAGCTTACTTCTCATGGAGTTGCTTTGGTTTGCTTTGATTTTGAAGAGCATTTGCAGTGAGTCTTTACATTATGGAATCCTTGCTTTTGGCGGCCTGTAAAGTTACTTTGTACACTTCAATATTATTGTTATGCTTATCCTCAGAAATTTAATTTCTCAGGTGGTTTTGTAGTTTATATTTGCTGCAGTGTTTTTCTGATCATTGTGGTGCTGGTTGCACACGTACAGCTGTTTTAGTGTCTTCCTTCCTCTTAGCAGCGAACTGATGTATTTCTACCCCAGTTATCATTGCTCCTTCATATGCACTATAGTAGCAGATAGGAATCTCAGAGTGGAACTCAGGTAAACCCATGCAACACAAGAATGCCTAGAGAATGTGAGGTCTGACTAGTTCAACTTTTGTATGAAAATTGTGAATTGTGGGGGAAAGCCTGAGCTTTTCTGTGCAGTCATGGGGTGACTGGGGATTATGCTATGGTCCTGTGAAAATTGGAAGTTGTTGTACTGTGTGCCAGAGAGCTGGGAAGACCATCCAAGCAGGGAGTCAGGACATCTTGGTTCTGTTCCTATTTCTACACAGATGGCCTAAGAGTGACCTAGTGTGAGTTACTTCAGCTCCAGTTTCCCATCAGTAAGGTGAAGCTGCTTTTGCAAAGTATTTTCAGAGACAGCTAAAGAACTGCCTAGGAACAAAGCATTTCTGTCTTATTAGATGCTGCAAGACCACAGCTTTTTATTGCAATAATGCAGCATTAAAGGGTGGTGTAGCACCTTTATAGGACAGTACGGAGTCTTGTCAGTGCCAAAGCCTTTCCAGTTGTTTTGCTATAGGAATACTGCTTACTTCAGGACACTAAAAGGCCTAATTCTGGTACCATTCAGGTTTCAACTGCTAATTGTACCTCAGGAGGGGAAGCTGCTTTGCCTGGAAGAAGGCTGAAAAACCTCAACGTCAATCTATTCTTAGTGCTGTCCTTACTGAAGGAGATCCCCAGGGTAACTGTTGAATGTTTTGTGAGACGTTGCTGTATGAAGAGCAGCTGGAAAGAACTTTTATGCTTAGGAGATGCTTCAGAATCTCCTGTTGGAGAGTTGGTGCAAATGGGCATGATCCCTGGCTAGTGAGAACTCTAAGGAGCAGTAGTTGTTGCCTGCCAAACAAGGTGGGTACATAGGAATGAAGCATGGGGAGGTCATACTTGCCTGGTGCCCACATAGCAGCTCAGTGCTAAAGCTAGGAATTAGCTTTAGCCAATTTTGCAAAACAGTAGACTGGGTTTCTACTTTCAGTGTGCTGCCTGCCCTGCTAAGGGAGCACAGAGTGGCTTACAGTGACAGAGGTGCCCATCAGTTCTGTGGTAATAGAAAGGGCAGTTGAGAAAGCTGGTTGGTAACTGTCCTTGCCAGTGACACGTTTTCCTCCCTCCTTTCTCACTAGCATCTGCCTCATCTAGCATCAGGGAGACTCCAGAGAAGGCCCCACGTGGCAACCCTGAGCCATGCATACAGCACTAAGGAGGAGAGCTCTGCAAGACCGATTGGCCGCTACCCAGTACCCAATAAGAAGGATATGCCGTATGACATTGTGGAGCTCATGGAGGAAGTAGAAATGAAGGTAAAAGTGTTCTGCTGCAAAATCCTCTCAGCAGAAAGGGTCCAAAGTGACCAATGTCTCTGGTTTGGTCTAACAAAAACCTGATAGGAGACCGAGGTGATCAGTACTTCTTGCAAAGTTTTTTCCAGTCTAAAGGATGGGGATTTTACTGGGAGTCTTGCAGTGGATTGTAAGTGTCTCTGATTCTCTGAATCTAGTGGGTTGTTTCAGGTTGTTTCCAGTTCACAGGGGTAGTTGAAACTCCAGAGTGTATTTTGTTTTTTTTTTTTTTTTGCTTGGAGAGCATCTGTGTTCACTTGGAACACTATTATGATTATTATTAATAATTTTCTTGGACATTTTTTTTTGGTAACCTTTTGAGGGGCTCTTTAGGCGTCGGCATTAAAAGGCCCAACAGGTATTCCTTCTTTTGTTCTTCATTTTTTTCGCCCCAAAGTTAAATGGGTTGCAGGGTGGCAGAACAGAACAGCGTGCCAAATGCACTACTGTGCTGGTATAAGGGAAACAACAGAGAATCAGACGTGAATTCCCTTCCCCACTCCACACACACCTTTGTGATTTCTAAAACACTGCACCAGCTGAAGCTCTCTTGATACTCCTTTCTTCCAAGAGCTTCCTCAGACAGCAAAGCTAATCCTTCCGTCCCTGTAGTTCCTGCCTGTTTGTTGTATCTTTGCTCTGTTACAATTACAGTTGCAGTTATCTCTCTGAAGTTTGTGTAATAACAAAAGGAGTCACCAGACTCACAGGTATCTATAATGTACTGAGGAAGAGCCAGCACAGCTTTCATATGCTGTGATGCAACCTCTTCCCTCTCAGTGCATTGAAGGGCTCAGCAGAGACCTAGATGTAGGATCCAATCAATACAGTAGACTAGGATTTCCAGAAACTGCTGCCAACTTCTGTTGCCAAAGGTTCCTAAAGAAGTTAATCAGTCATGATTTGAGAGATAAGAACCTCCCCTTGGTTAACTAACAACAAACAGATGTCTAGGATAGGAGGAATACAGTCAGCTGTGTGACGGTGGAGAGAGATTGCCAGTGGAGTCTGTCACACATTAGCGATTCTACTTTTTCATAAACATCCTGAAGAATAGCAGCCAGGAAGCCACAGTCTCACCAAAGACTGATTGAACAGAACTGCCATGGGATCTCCCACTGCTTGGCAGGCAGGCAGTAAAACCAGCTGAAATCCCATACTGATAAACGTGAAGCAGTGGGACGCAGACGCACATGGGTTCAGTATTAGCTGATCTTGCATAGGAGAGACAGCAAGTGAGTCTCTGGGAGTGGCAGCGTAGTGTACCATCAAAGAGCATTGGGAATCATCAGGGAGAGAACAGAGAATGAAACAGAGTCACATCCTTGGACCGGCACATAAATCCACAGTATGCCTGTACCTCAAACCGTGTGGCATTCCGTTTGGGCTGGTTCTGTCTTGGGTCCCATAATCTTATAGGGAGAGGCAGAGCTAGAGGAGGTCTAGGATGGCCGGACGGACATAGCAGCTTCTGTCAGGCAGAGACGAAACAGATGATAATTGCTTACTTTGGAAGAGAATCGCCTGAGGGGAGTGTGATTGTGTTCATTACTGGTGAGGAGAAGGTGAGCAGGGCAGATTTCGTTCTCTGAAAACAGAGCAACACCTAATTAAGAATCACATCATTACATTGTCAGTCATATGTATAAATAGGCTCAAAGTGCAAGGAGAGCGGGACTGTGGAGATTCTCTGGGACTGCTGTGCTAACCATTTTTTTCCTAAGCCTCACATATTAATGTTGCCAGCTGCACTGTGCATTAAGACTAGTATTCTTGACTTGTTTGTCTTTTTCCTTGAATAGACTGGATTTTTGCCTAATGTGTTCAAAGCCATGTCTCATCGACCTGCTGAATTCAGAGCTTTCTTCGCTTATTACAATGCCATTATGAACAAAGACACAGGTAAACCATACACCTTGAAATAGCCCTTCACTTCGCAGATGTGAAAAGCTGCTTTAAGTGACATCCCTGACATCCTATATTGTATTCCCTCACTGTGCCTTATGTCAACTCATAGTAGCAGCTGGCAGAGGCTGGAAGTGCTTTGCTGCTTCCACCTTCTGCTCGTATTGCATAAAGCTTCAGACTTTCTAGCCTGGGGTTAAAATGCCAGGCAGAGCTGCTTTGCAGCACCATTCTCTGTGTCAGGAAGAAAGGACAGGTTGCTACCTACAGGATGATGAGCCAGGAGCCAAACATGGTAACAGCATGACCAGTGGCTTCACTGACAGTGCTGTAGTCCCATATTACCCAAGCAAGATGAGCATTGTAGGTGTGATGAGGGTGACCAGGGATAGCCAACAGTCCAGACTTGACTAACAAGTTCACAGCGACAAAGCAGGGCCAAGAAAGTCTGTGGGCCAGGCTCAGGTTCCAGATCAAGAGGGCTACGTGGCCAGGCACAGCTACGGCTGCAGGGCAGCTGCACTGTAGTTAGGGCAGAGGCCAAGGCCAAGGGCTCAGCATAAAAGCAGCTCCTAAAGGAAGAGGCATGCTGTTGCTAAAGCTTCCTGCAGCTCTCCCTTCACAGCAGTTCTTATCAGTGAGATGGCCATAAGCAGTGAGCAGAATTTCTCAAAGGGTGTACACACTGGGCTCTGACATGCTCCGCTGTGGATTTCTGAACCCATGGAGTTGTCTGCATGCTGCAGGAGTGGGAAGAAGGCAGTGATTCTTATCTATACGCTTTGACAGCGGGAGGCCTCTGGCTGTCCCTGGCATAGAACATGTAGTGAGACTGGTCGTTCCAGTGCACGGTGGTCGGTGTGAGGAACTTCTCACAACTCTCAAGCCTCTGAGAAGACATGATTTGAAGACCACTTGTTCCTTCCTCTTATTTCCTGTGAGACAGGAAACTTGTTCTCATTGCTTTTGCTGTAAAGACGCATCAGTAAAATCAGGAGTTTGTAAAATAACCTGGGAAGTGTAGGCTGCTCCATCTGGTTAGAGAAGATAAGGGACTGGGAACAGGGTCTCAGCAAGTTCCAGTGGCAGCAAAGAGCGCAACCTTTTGCCTCGCCCACTGAGATATAGTCTATGCATAAGGCTTTCTACTCTGCTTGTGCTGCTGGCGTGAAGCCATGCCCTCAACGGTGAGAGGATCTATTTGGTCATTCTCATACCCCTGCTTGCTTATTGTTTGACTTAAGGAGCAGGACTATCTTGGATCCCACCCTTTTTTCCAGCATCTGTCCTGAAGCATCACAGAGTTGCCACCTCTGCCTCTGATCTGTTTCCGAGTAAGAAACTCTCTCTTCCCGATTACTTTCCAGCCAAGAGGTTTTACTAATATCTTTCATGCTTTTGCAAAACACTAGTTTTCTGGAAATACCCTCAAAATCCAGTAAAGTAGTAGCTTTTGGAAGGAAGGAGGAAGGGATCCTGACTTTCCCTGTGAAATGTGATTTGAAAAACAACCTGCTGATGATTATCTTGAGAAAGGCGAAGAGTATGAGTGCTGATGTACAGACAGGTAAGTTCCTCTGCTCCTCTGCACTGTTCTGGTGTGAAGGTGTTTGTGAAAATTGCTAGCATTGATTCTGAGTATAACCCAGCATGGATATCATTTACAGGGTTTCTTTAAAGAAGTCACAGGGCTAGTCGCTTCTTACAAGTTGGCATTTGTTTGTCACCACACTAGAAATTCTCAGATCCCTGGTCTTGCAGTAAGTCATTGCTCCTGTTTGGTTTCATGTTCTTGCCTTAGAAAGTGGTAAATAATGTTTACTTGTTGAAACCTGCTCGGTAGGTTTTACAACGTTGCTGTCCTCTGTAGGAGCAGCAATGAAAAATGAATCGTGCCAGGGGCAACCCTCTTAGCCATGTGAGTCTGAGATATACACAGAGAAGTACCAATCAAACTTCCTACTTGGTGTGCTAGTATTTGGGTGCTAGTATTTTTGCTCCACTGAGTTCTGTTAGATAGAACTGTTGTTCTCTGTTGACCAAGTAATGTATCTCTTATCCTAACAAGGTGCCTAATGAGCAAATGTCCAGTTAAATTGGTCCCTTGGATGATTTTTTTGGAGGTCTCTGCGCACTCCCTGGACTTCTGTCCATTTGGCTGTTCTATGAGCAATTGGTACCCAGAGCCCTTATTGTTTCCCCAGTCATACCTGCATCGGTGGATTAATTTTAATAACAAAGCGTACCAAATCTTTTGCTCTCCCTGTAGGGCGTCTCAGCAAGGCAGACAAAGAGCTCATAATTGTGGCCACAAGTGTTGTGAATAGATGTACCTACTGCGTGGTTGCACATGGAGCACTTCATCGGATATATTCCAAGCAGCCAGCACTGGCTGACCAGGTCAGTGCTGTTAAAACGGCATGTGCCACACTTACTTTGCATGTACTTCTGGGAGACCGGAATGGCTTTCTCTTACACGTTTGCTTCTTCACCTAATGTTTTCATGCTTCAGCCTGTGGTTCCCAGCACAGGCAGAGGAGAGCTATTAGACATAGCTGGGACATTAATAAAATGCCTGGCTTATACTTGGTTATTGGTGAATGGTTAGATGACCTGCACCACCAAGGAGGACTTCATCATGGTACTATGTTATCATAGCAGCACAAAATGCACAGCTTGATACTGAAGGTATGATAATAAACCAGCCATGAATTTGAGGGTAGCCATGGAGGAGGGGTGGGTGTGCATTCTCGTCCATTCTCCAAGAAATATGCAGGGATGGTCAGTCGATCTGCAGAGCATTCAACCTATGGCCCATGTCCTTCGTTGTTGCAACCCTGCGTTTGTGGAGGAACCTGCTACTGGGGGAGGGCTGCAGCATCCTGATGGTGTTGGGTCCCCAGAACTCCTGCACGGTCCCTATGTGAGAAGGGAAGTAAAAGAGATGTATCCTTTGTCTTACAGTAGCCGGGGTGTCTGGTTCAGCTAGCGAGAGAAAGAGCCTGCACGCTGCCACCTTTCTGCCTCATGGAGATAAGATGGTGATAAGCCACCCGGGCCCTTTGCTGTTTCCCTCTGTCCTTCTTCCAACTTCCTGGTTTGTGCCTTTTCACAGGTCACTGTGAATTGGAAACTGGCTGACCTGAGTGATCGGGAACTGGCAATGCTGGAGTTTGCCCTTGCAGTCTGTAAAGCTGAAAACATCACTGAAGAGCATTTCCAGAAGCTGGAGGCACATGGTTTTGACCGTGAAGATGCCTGGGACATAGGCATGATTTCTGCTTTTTTTGCTATGTCTAATCGCATAGCTCATTATATTGACCTGCGCCCAAACAAGGAATTCTACACTATGGGCAGGGTACCCCAGAAAAAGAAGGAGGAAGAGAAGGCTGAGAGTGCCTAACCTTGTGCTCTGGTGGCTACAGATCTGCAAGAGATGATCGAGATCTCGTTTCTTAAACTCATGCGGCTAATTTGCGACTATGTTAAGAGTTTAGAAAGTTAATTCCAGATTGTAACCATGAGGAATGAGTCTCACTTTTTTTCAGTGTGCCAAGTCTAGAGAGGTTTTTCAACCACATGGTGATTCCAGTGCTTTCTGTGTTTGTAAAGCAGCTGCAAGATTGTAACTTTGATCTCAACAGTCTTTAAATGAATAACAAACTCCCAGGGCAACAATGTGGGTTATAAATGAGCTGTTTCAAATCTGTTTTGTAATCTCTGTAATTTTAAAGTCAATATACTTTATTGCTGCCTGTGTATTTCTGTAGATAATATACACTTTTGGCTAAGTAGCAGAGAGGTACATTTACGTGCGGCTTGGGAAGACGCTGATACATGCTCTCTCCTTTTTCTAAATCTACTTGCAGCGTGGGTAAGTGCACGTTTATTTCAGTGGGTCTTGCTGTCCGGTCAGTGAGTATTTGAGGCAGCTCTCACTGGCTTCAGTGGCAAATCCCCGGGCAGTTACCTTGGGAGCAGGAGCAGAGCAGTATGTGCCATGGCGGTGCGTAGCCTGGGCCAAGCGCTATTTAACGAACTTTTCTTTGAAGGCCGGGGTTTGCCCGGGTCCGAGGGCTGGCGAAGAGCTTCCTCCGTGAAGGAAGGACGGTCTGGCCGCGGGGGCGGGGAGAGGGGAGGAACGGTCGTGCTGTCACGTGGGCGGGTCGGGTCCCGTGGACGGGGCGTTGGAGCTGTCACGTGGGCGGGACGGCGGCGAGTCACGTGGGTG